AGCAGTTTGGACCTCTTAGAGTCCAGATCCCAGGTGAAGTGACACTCAAGGTCTTTGAGTTTGAGGTGAGTCTGAGGAGCACTGATGGAAAAGTATTAAAAGATTTATTAGACATCATATTTTAAATAATGGTGTAAAGTAGAGGCAAATCAATGAAGGCGAAAATAAGAAGTATGAATAGAAATTCAAGAATATTAAATAAACAGGCACAGAATAAAAACATGATCAACTTTACCAGAGATGTTACTTGTTGCATCAAAATATGACCATAATGTCACTAATAAATAATTCGGTACTGAGAAACAAAATTTGTGTTTCTATTGTAATTCCTTTTTGTACCACAAGAGGGAGACACACTGAACCATTGAACCTTTTTTTTTTTTTTTTTTTTACAAGTAATGACTGAGTCAGCAGGTTGTCTCATCTGGAGGAGAGCAGGAAAATCTGTGAGGACAGTAATGTCCAAATTCTGGACAGAGAAGGCCTGCTGCCTTTATTTCATCATGATCGAAATGCAGCAACAAACTCACATCATGGTGAGAGGGTTTTCTTAACTCAGAACTTTGGGTGTGCCCTCAACTCCAAGTGTCATTTAAGGTCAGATGTTCAATCTAACTCCCTCTAGCGGTCAAGAAGAGTAGAATAAAAAAACAAAATTTGTATATTCCTCACATCCTTTTTATTCATTTATAGGCAGAATTTGCCAAAATAAAATCCTTTCTTCCAAACAGAGGGAGATAAAACGGAAAAAGTGACATAGAATTCATTCATACAAATTATTTTCCATTGCATCTTAGATTTGAAAGTACTCTTTTACTCATTTTTCTACCTCGAACGTACTCTAATTGTTGTTGGGATGGGAGATATTTATCAGTTTTCAAAACCTAAAGAAGTCCTGTAGAGACAGAAGAGAATTTTACAGGAGGAAATACAGTAGCATATGTAAATAAAATGCAAGAAATAAAACCGAAAAGAACAGTGAGTTGATCCCAATCCTGATTGGAAATGCAGGCACTAACCTCATCATTAAGCTTTTTTTTTTAAAGGTGAATCCTTCTGGATTGGGGTGCTTTTCTTGAGCAAAATCAGGAGCTTCTCAACGTGTGATGATTTCAGATCAGTTTGCAGAGTCTGTCTGGGCGGCGCGCTATCGCGCGAAGCCAGAAAAGACGCGGCTCGTGACGCGCCACGCGGATCTTACCAGCAGAAAAAACCCAAGTCCCGTTCGCCCAAATGAGCGCGTCGATGACGGCCATTTTTCAGCAGTGTAAGTTTCGGTTTCCTGAGAATGAAAACTCAACACTGTGGTAGTGTGTGGGTGCGTGTGTGTGCGTGCGTGCGTGCGTGCGTGTGGCTTTTAAAAAACATAACAAGTAAAAAATGTCTCTGAAACCTCGAGAACTCTGGAAATTCGTCTGGAAACCTTTTGTGAGAACCTCCATATCTGCTAAATCAGAGCAGATTTGTTAAAGTATAGACACTTTTTTAACAAAGTTCTGACACTGAAATAGACAATTTTAGGTCACAACTAACCAGTCCAAATAATGTTCTTTTTATCATTTTTAAGATGAACTTTCCCAGAATTCTTTGTCATTTTCAGGAAATTGTGGCTCTGCATACTTTATTGATAAAATAAATCAACATTCCTCTTAAATCTGTTGGCTCTCTGAGCCGTTGGTCTTCAGGATACAAAAGGACCCTCTTTGAGCAGAATGCTCCCAGTGTTGTCATTTCTAGCTCCATAAACTCACTTGTACACATGTCTTCCTTGAGTTTTTTCTTTCACTTCAACTATTGAATAGATCTTTTGGATTTCTGTCATTTTCCCACTCATAACTGAGGTGTAAATGTTATTCAAACTGACCACTACTTCTGGAAAAAATGGAAATGAATATCAGTGTGTTGGTCATATTGCAGAGACCATATTGCAAGACTCTTAAACAGACCTAAAGACAGTTTTTATAATAAAGGAAATTACACATCTTGTCTGTATATAAATTAAACATATTTCTTGCACAAACTTGTGTTAAATTCTAAAGAAAAACGTCCCGAAATACGTGAAAGCACTCACTTTAAAAAAGTTGTATTAACTGAATTAACCACTGACGGCTTGTTTGTATCTTTAAATTACTAAATGTCCTCCCTAAATATTTTAATAATTTGAAGAAATGTTAAAAACTTGAGAGTTAACAAGTAAATTCTGAAGAGTTCTGGCTCATTTGCCCTCCTGTTCCCAAAAGCCATAACAGCGTTTTTTCCGATTGCTTTTAGTTACGTAAGAATCTGCGCAGTTTGCGTAAAGGACGTACGCACGAACGTTTCCTGTGTTTCGTCGCAGTTGGAAATGGCGGAGCTCAAAGAGGAGGCCGCTGCTCAGCTTCACCAGGAGACCGTCGATATCAAACGTGAGTTATCCGCTCCTGTTCCCACTTGGCTCTCTAATTTCGTGGCTGTAAAATGCGCCCCGAGTTGCACTTCCGGTATGATTAAAAAACCGCCGTGAATCTACGGCAACTTTCAGTTTGAAACTGCGAAACTGGGCGAGGGCCTCACCACGGAGCTCCGTCATAGGACCTAAACAGTGTAACAACAGCAGCCATGGAGGCGCTGGGGCAGAAATGAGCGGAAAGGGGCATGTTAGCCGCGGGAGACATGAGGACAGTAGCTTTAGGGTTGGTTCAAATTGCATTTGGACGTTTTGTGCGGCAGTTTCCTGCAAACGGCCTCATGACGGAGCTGCACTGCAGAACCGCTCAGTTTGGGCTCCGCGCAATTTAAACCCGCTGAAAGGAAGAGTCTGTGCTGATGGCTGGACTCTGAAAATGTGAGAAGATGCTGCTCTTTACAGGTGATGACCATTAACCAATCTGATCCCAACAAACCAAACCATCCAAATTAATTAAAAAAACTTACCTTTCAAGGTTTAAAATATCCAAGTCATAATTAATGTTGGATATATGGATATGTTATCATATATGGATATGTTATGATACGTTTGATATATATTGATGGGTAGTGTTTAGTTTAGATGTGATGAATTCATTAGAATATTTCGTAACATCCATCCATTTCCTTTACTGCTTATAGCGATGGGTCAGAGAGGCGGGGCACATCCGTCCATTGCAGGACAACCGATGTGTGTTTTTAGAAGCTGGCGCTTAGAGGAGACCCACACAGACACAGGGAGAACACACAAAGTCCACACAGAACAGTCCCTGTTCCCCCGGGGACTGGAACCGGGAACCTGTGATGAGACGGTGCTAACCACCACACCGTGCCCCCCAAAGTCATATTAGAACATCATATATTACATCTATAAGTATGGAAATTATCTAAAATCAACTGAAACTCTATAAAGTTATGTACGATAATATGAAAATGTTTGAAACTATTAAAAGTTGTTGAACATAATCTCAAATATTGTATTTTCAGTAAGCAATTATTAAAATGATTTCAAAATTAATTGAAATAAAAACTAAATAAATTTATTTGATTTTAAAGTTAGATTATTAATTCAAGATCATTCCAAATGTTATTTTGAATAATTTAAAATGAGTATAGAATCATTTAGATTAAAATGATAAACACTTAAATTACCTTTGAGATGATTTAAAGGAATTTAAAATGATTAAGTTCGATGTAAATGGTCTCCTTTCCTGCAAAGGTGAGGAGGAGGATGAAGTTCGGCCCTCAGCTGACCAGCCGACTGACGGCGACTCCAAACCTTCGACTACAACGGGTAACTTTAACCGAACATCTGTTCACATCTGTCTCATGAGCCAGCCTTATGTTTATTCCTTTGCTCTCACCCAGAGAGACACATCTCCATCCAGACCAAACTGGAGGGCCTCGAGGTTCTGGTGGACCTGAACGGCGGTGAGTTACGGGCCGGGCAGATTTTGTGTTCCAGTCCGGAAGCCTTTAGCTCTTCAGCTGGACTTTTTTTTAACTTTTTGATGGTGAAAATAACAAGTTAAGGGTTTAGTTAGCTCTGATTGATTAAAAAGTTTTTTCTTTTCAGGGATTTTGAAAGGTTAAATTAATAAAATTCAGCTTTTTTAAATCAACAAGGTAATCAAATTGGTTCCGAGGTGAATTAGAGTGAAGTTGACCGTTTCTGGGGGCTGACTCAGATTAAATCAGCTTGTTTCTGGATGAGATGGGGAGAAAACTGGAGGAGTCTCTCAGGTCTTTTTGGGGAAGTTTGAGGTCAGTTTTTGAGTTATTTTCCAGTTAATTTGAATGCATTTGCAGCTAAAAGCCAACAAGCAGAGAACCTGATAAGAGAACATATTCCTAGATGGATGTGAGCATTCACAGTGACAGGAGGATGGTCTCCAGTCCTCTGATCAGGGCCCTGAAAAGTGGGAACAGTTTTACAGATAAACGTCACCTGAAAACAAAACTAACAGAATGATTCAAGTAGGGTTGTCACGATACAAAAAATTTCAACTCGATACCGATACTCAGGAAAATACTCGATACTCGATATTTTTCGATACCACAAGGATTAAAAAAAGACCCCAACATTTAAATGAATTTTGACAGGTTAGTGTCTTTCATTTCAAACTGACCTGTTACTAATGTTATCGTGACTGGTGGCCTGCATTAATGACCCTAACCCTCCACCCTTCATAATTGTGAGAAATAAATATTTTTTGGTTAAACTTGTTTGGACTTATTGTACAAACCTATTTAACATACACTATTTTAACATAATAATATGTATAGAGTTTAATTAAGTGTTTGAAAGATTAATTTCACAATTTTTAAATGAATCTCTATATTGCCATGAGGCAATTAGGATTTTCTTGCCTGGAATCTTCCTATTGTTAATGTAACTATAATGGCCGACTTCGATGTGGGCGGAGTCGGATATGTACTTGATTAATGGTAGCACGTTATTATTAGCCATTAGCCGAAGCTAGCAGTTCAAGGCTAACAACTTGTTAATGACCATAAACAACGTAAAAAAATACATAAATAAATCTGAGAGAAGGGGGGCAGCGACGGCAGGTCAGCGCTGCGTGCGCTCGCGCGGTGGTATCGATACTTTTGAAAATTAGTATCGTATCCGGATACAACATTTTAGTATCGATACTTTTTTGAGTATCGATACTTTTGACAACCCTAGATTCAAGCCAATTACAGTCCAGTTCATTTTGATCCCATTAAATGAATTCCAAATTGTTCCAGTTTATTCAGATCTAATTAAACTATGGGGCACTCGCCCCAGCCCCGGAGATTCAAATCCACAGAAACGAACATGTTTAGCTTCCACAGAGAGGTCAGACTTTGTGCTTTGCAGATCAATTTCAGGCAAAACCTCTGAAACTGATGAGCGGTGTCAGCAATAACTGGACCGAGGGGCTCATATCTGCCTTTCTCTCCCCCAGCGGGGCGGAAGTCGTGCCCTCTTTGTTCCGAGGAGAAGTTCAAAGCCTGCTACAGCCACAAGCTGCGCCGACACCTGCAGAACCTCCACTGGAAGGTGTACGTGGAGTTCGAAGGTGGGGAACCGGCGTTCAAACGATCCTCTGAATTAAAGTGTAGTTTAGCCCAAAGACTTGTATTTTTCACCTCTGAAACCTGAAACTGCTCAACTCCAGTTCAGATTTATCCAGAGCAATTCGAAGACAAGTTTCCTCTCTAATAAAACCATGCTGGAGCATTTGCTTTGACCCCGGTGGCCTCTGACCTTTAACCTCTGCCCCCTAACAGGCCAGAGGATGTGCATCTGCCACCTGCCCTGCAGGAACCTGAAGCCCAGCCTCAGCGGGGACCAGGTGAGACCTTTCCCCACAAATCTGCCCATTTTTTCCTCTTCAAATAGTTATTTGCTAAAGCACGCGGCGTCTTTCAGGCCTCGGGGAGGCACATGGCTCACTACCACTGCGTGGTGTGCTCTGCCACCATCGCTCGGAAGACCGACATGGTCAGCCACCTCAAACGCCACGTCAACAAAGGAGAGACGGAGGCCAGCTACTCGGGCAGCTCCGACACCCCATTCCAAGAGCCGGGTGAGTCCTTCCTCCCTCAGACCACCAAAGATCTGCTGTCTGAGGTAGAAGACGGGGAAAAGAGCGGTTAAAGAGCGGTTAAAGAGCGGCTGGAGGCCAAAGGCTGGCCTCGGCCGACTGTTTTCTGAGGTCGGCGCTCCGCGTGTTTCTGCTGTGTCGGCAGCTCCGTACGGGCAGGCCTACGAGATCATGAAGGAGCTCGGCACCAACGTGCAGCTCCTCCCGAACCACACCACCCCCCAGAAGAGCGACACCTACTTCAACCGGAAGATGAAGACCAACAGGTCGGAAGTGCCTTCGTCTTTTCTTCAGCCTGTTTCCGCTTCAGTTCTCCCCTCTTCGTGTCGATTATTATGTTTGTTTTGTGTCTCGTTGTGATGGTACGATGCCTTTTTGTAGTTTTATAGTGTCTTGTTCTGTTAGTTTTGGGGGGGATAAGGCATCTGAAGCTGACCCCGGTGCCTGTGTTTCAGGCAGCTGGTGTTTTGCTCCTTGGCCGTTCTGGCCGAGGAGAGGAGCCCCATCGAGTGTCTGGATGCTTTCGGAGCCACAGGTGAGTGAGAGCAGGATTCTGACCGTTTTACCTGCCGTGGGGTCACCTGGGGTGGCAGGTTTTGCGTCCTGACTCATATCCGGTCTGATGCGGGCATCTTGTCTGCCCACCTCCCGTCCCCTCCCCTCCCATACACACACACACACACACACTCAGGCATCATGGGCCTCCAGTGGGCCAAACACCTCCGCGGTGCCGTCAAAGTCACCATCACGGACATCAGCGACACCTGCGTCAAGATGATCAGAGAGAACTGCGAGCTGAACCACATCCGGGCCGAAGGCGGCCCGCGAGGCCCCCGGGGGCCCGAGGCCGAGGCTCCGCCCATCGCCAGCGTGGAGGTCGCCAAGATGGACGCCAACGTCATCATGCACCTGCGACCGTTTGACTACATGTGAGTAGTAAAGGTGAGCCGGGTGGACTCCAGACTCTTTCTCTGTTTAAACCCGCCCGTGTTTTTTGTAGACACCTGGACCCCTTCGGCACCGCCGTCAACTACCTGGACGCCGCCTTCAGGAACGTGCGGAACCTGGGCATCATCTCGGTGACGTCCACGGACACGGGCTCCCTGTACGCCAAGTCGCCCAACGTCACCCTGCGCCACTACGGCTGCCACATGGTGCGCACCGAGTACTACAGGGAGCTGGCTGCCCGCATGGTGGTGGCCACGGTGGCCCGGTAGGTGTGCCCGCGCCGCGCCCCGCTCCAAACCCCCGCCGGGCTCAACAGGCTAACCCCCCCCTTCCCCCCCCCGGCGGCTGTGCTCTGCAGGGCGGCGGCTCGCTGCAACAAAGGCATCGAGGTCCTGCTGGCCGTGGCGCTGGAGCACTTTGTGCTGGTGGTGGTCAGAGTCCTGCGAGGTCCCACGCAGGCCGACGAGTCGGTCAAGCAGCTGCGCAGGCTGGTCCACTGCCAGTGGTGCGAGGAGAGGGTGTTCCTAAAGCTGGGAAACATGGTGGACGGTGAGCTCGGCGTTCATCACACACACACACACACACACACAGTTTGAAAGGTCAGAGTTACCTCCACAGGTCCCAGCTGTCCATGATGACTGACCGGCCCCAAATCCTGTCTGTCATCGCTCTGAATTTGAGCCAGTGGGTCTGGAAGTGAACCACACTGAGCCAGTAATAACTTGGTTTAAGGTGTGAAAGACGTCCATCAGCAATCAGGTTTTTTTTTTTTTTTTACCAAACTGTGGACAACAAAGGACCAAGGATGATACCAGAGGATAAATCCCACCAGTGTTTGAACCGTCACCCCCCTTAAAAAGTCCTTTATTTTCTCAATTGTTGGCTTTAATGGGGTCTATGTTTGTTAAATCTACTCTGAGTGGAACCACAGGGCCCACGCCCCGCGTAGGTTTGAGGAGTTTAGAAGAGCAGAATCAGGTTTTATAGGAGAGAAATGTTGGTTTTATATGGTTACATAACTGTCTCCAGAGGGTTGACCCCCCCCCCCTTGTTGTTAAAGAAGATTTTAATAATGCTCTGATGCCTCTTCTTTCAGACACGCTGCCCTGTAACTGTCATGGAAGTCTGCCTGGAAAGACTGCAGTCCAGCTGGGACCTCTCTGGTAAACAAACCCCCTTTTTTTTTTGCTCCTTTACGTCAAATCTTAGTCTGGTTTTATTTGTAACTTCACTCCGAATAAATCTGTATGTGAGTCCTCTGAGTCTGACTCTTAGCTGTTTTTGTTCTGACTGTAAATCACATTTCGGACCAAACGCCGGGCGTCTTCCGTCTTTTCTGGGCAGGTCCGGTTCTCTGTTCAACACGGGCTTCCTGAGGAGGATGCTGTCTGCAGCCGTGCAGCACAGCATGGACGACGTCCAGCCGCTGGTCAAGACCCTCATCTGCGAGTCGGAGTGCACCACCCTGAAGTCGCTGGTCCACGGGTCGTCCGCCCTCACCAACCAGGGTACGGGCCCGGCGCTGAGGCTGTGCCATGTTACGGGCGGCCGTGGGCTCACTGATGTTCTGCTTCCTCTGCAGTGGAGTGCGGCGTGGTCATCAAGACGCTGCAGGACGAGGGGGCAGTTCCGGCCGAGCACTCAGGTGGGTCCACCCCCTCAGCACCGGGAAAAGCCTGCAGGTGTGCGTGTGTCCTGCAGAGGGCAGCGCTGCTCCACTCACGGTGTAAAGGAATGAAGTTTACTCCAAAATCTCCCGATTGTAGACTATCTCAACACCTTTTTGGCAAATATAGTCAAAATACTGCTTTTAAATCACAAAAATTCATATTTCAGCTGCTTTTCCTCTCCATAATTCTGTTGAAAAACTTCCAAACCAACAAGTCAAACTATATCAGTATTTTACCCATCCATCCATCCATTATCAATACCGCTTATTCCCTGATGGGGTCGCGGGGGGAACTGGAGCCTATCCCAGTGGTCAACGGGCTAGAGGCAGGTATCACCCTGGATACCTTTAATTTATTTAAATGTATTTCAAACAACTTTATTTGATTTAAATATTTATAGTTATTTTATTTACATTTGGAAATATACATTTTTTATTTACCATGATCCTTCAATCCTTATAAGAAAAAAACTATAATTTTCAGGATTTTAACTCCTTGAAAGCCAGTTGAATGATTATCTCTTTTTTCATTAAGAGTTATCAAAAAGTTATTTTTCGTATGATGTGTGTGTGTATATATATGTATGTGTTTGAGCCAAAATTCCAGAAAAAAGGAGCAGATGGTAGAAAAGCTTTATTTACCACGTCATGGATGAGTTCAGCCTTCGGCTCAGAGATAATTTGGAGTTTCACAGCAGGAAAGAGGAAGAGCGGGGAGGAGCCAGGAAACATTGTGAAGAAGTTGAAGCCCGATGCGTCGCTAGAGCATCCGCCTTTCTACTACAGCATCCACCGCCACAGCATCCGAGGCATGAACATGCCCAAGTGAGTGACCCCTGACCTTAAGCTGTTGGTTTTTGAGAAGGTAGACCTGATCTGGAAGGTTTCTGTCCAAATCTGAGCACTTTTTTTCAGATTTTAGTGACATTCTGGTGTTTCTACCTGGGATCTCAAACTCTGGTGCTCTTTGGGCCGCTGTCCTGCGGGTTTAACGTGTTTCCTGCTTCAACACACCAGATTTGAATCAGTGCTCCATTTGCAGATGATACAGTCTAAGTTAGGTCCACGTCAGAAAAGACAAGAGTTCCCAATAGGGAGACCACCTGAACTTATTTCCATCAGCTGCACCTGTCTAAAATTGCAAAAACTTCAAATTTTGACACAAAAACAAACAAAAAATAATGCCAAACATCATAAAGAGGCAGAAAAAAGACAGCTGATGTTCAGAATAACCAAACAAATCCACAGAATCTTCATTAGAATCCTTAAAATAGCTCAGTGATCCCTCCAACTCAGTTCTGTTGCGTTAACCTAAGGCTGAATGTTTCTTTTGTTTTTTCTTCTTTTTTTTTTGTCTGTCCACAGGTTGAACAAGTTTCTTCAGTACCTGATGGATGCCGGGTTCAGGGTGAGCCGGACTCACTTCGACCCCACCGGGGTCCGAACAGACGCCACGCTGCTGCAGTTTGAGTCCGTCCTCACAAAGTACAGCGTCCCTACCTTCACCACCGCCCCTCAGAGCAGCGTGAGCGCCGAGAAAGCAAACTGACAGCTTCCCGCTGCGCTCATCCCAACTGATGTCTATTTATTTCCCTTTGAAACCTGCTTTGGACTCTTTTGTTTGTTTTTTTTTCTGATTAAGATACAATAAATTCTTTCATATTTTTCTCTGCACTTCTTTCCATTTTTACATTTTCAGCTATAAAAAAGGACAAAGCAAACAAATACTACTGAATTTAATCCTCTGAGCTATTAAACTTTGTAGTTTGAAGAGGTTTTCAGATTTCCTTGAAAAGACCCAAAGTTAAAGGACAGTTACATCAAATTTGCCCTGAATGTATTAAACTGCAGATTGACAGTCACAATCCGACCACTTTTCAGCCGAATAATTCCACATCATTTTAGGTCCAAGTTTCTTTCTAAGAAACCAAAAGATAGTTTAGGTCCTTCCCTATGATCCAGTTCTGGTCCTGGGCTTGCTCGAAGAAAACCTTCAGAACCCAAAAAGGTGTCCGTCTTTCTGGGCCGATTTGGGGTTGCGAGGTCAGGAAAGAGGGGAGGGATGCCCCCTCCTTAGTGAATGGATGCTTTTAGTTAATCTTATTCATACTTCATCATCTTATTTCAGATGATCTATAAGCGGAAGTGACGTAACCCCGGGGCTGTAATTCAGCTCTCGGAGGCGCCTTTGGGGACGAAAAGTGATCTGGAAAATCTTGCTGAGCGTCATTGAACGAGCCCTCAGAGGAGGAGGAGGGCAGAGGGAAGAGGAGGAGGAGCACACCTCCACCGCCTCCTCCTCCTCCTCCTCCTCCTCCTCCTCCTCATCCTCCTCCTGAGGCGCACATCGATGTGACGCCGCTTATACCTGAGGACAGAGCTCTACCTGTGGATCGTCTCCCGCCCGGCAGCACCATGGGGATCTCTGCGTCCAGTCTGCTGGATGAAGCCAAATGCAACTACATCAGAGGTGAGGAAACGGCAGAGGATGGGTGAATGTCCTCAGAGGTGTGCGCACGGCGCGTTTGGCTCGGGCGGACGCGGCTTTGACGCGTCAAACTTCCACCTACCTGAGACTTCCCTGAGCTTAGATCAACGGGAGGACTGCTCCTTTTCAGTGGGGTTTTAGCTGCAAATTGGTCTGAATCTGTGCGTCTCGTGTCAGGTGCCGTCACATTAAAAATATGCGCCCGTTTAAAGTTTGCGTGACGAAACAAACAAACAGCAAAAATGATCTGGTCTGCCTAAAGATCAAAATCTTTTCCAGGCGGCGCCGAAGCCTGCTCGTCGGGTTTGAAGTGTTTTTTCTACAGCCTAAAAGCTGATCACAGACTGATGTCCAGGCACTTTGCCGGGCAGATAATGGACCCTGAAGGGAACCCGGGGCTGCTCTCAGCCCGGCTATCTGCGGATATCATCAGGTCACTCCTGCATTTCCAGTCTTGCAGGAAGGAGGAAAGTGAGAGGGCAGTGAGAGTTGAGCCGTTCGTCTCTGTTGCTGGGTGTGTCTGCGGAACATGTTTGTGTAGTGTGTAAATGAGCACGGAGCGTGCACATGTAAACAGGTGCGCCTGCAGGGATGTTCGCCACCAAATCTGAGCTGAATCAGGAGGATGTGCTTAAAATCTTTTTAAGTCGTGTTAGCGGTGTGATCCAGGCTGAAGGAAAATCTGATCTTGTTTCCAGCTCCTGACCACCAGGACTGAGATCAGACCTTCTGATTGGTAGGAAGCTTGAAAAGCTGAAATATCATCAGCTTTCCTCACAAAGCTGCAGCAGCAGAAGCAAAAAGCTGATCCAAAATTCAGTTGGGCCCCAAAAGCTTTAAAAAGTCAAACTTCGGAGCTAGCCTCTGTGACTTCTTGATCAGGAGTTAATATGTTAAAAAAATGGGAGTCATTTAAACTCAGAAGGTGGAAAAATTAAGCAGAATCACTGGATTTGTGACTGAGCATCAGAGCTTTCTCTTCTTGCTCCTCTGTTCTTCTATTAATCAGACTCAGTGGACCAGTAATGGTAACATAAAGAGAGAGGCCCCTTATGGACCTCCAAACGTGGGACCCATCGTGCTTGGTGGCTCTGGTCACTTGTTAATCACTGTTAACCAGAATGATAAACACTGATCTCACTCGTCTGACTGTCAGTCATGTAAAGCCAGGCTGCTTCCTTCAGACTGCTTAGAAATCCAGCTGTGCTCCAGCTCATGGTGATAAAATGTGAAACAGCTGTGATGTTCCACTCTGGCGTGGATCGGTCTGGATTCGACTGGACCAGCGCCACCCCTATAGCATCTCATGTGTCAGCCAGCAGCTTCAAGTATTTGAGGGTTCAGGACACGTTCATACTTAAGTGTTGATTATCTTCTGTTTTAAATGGTCATGCTTGAATTTCAGGCCACTTTGAGGTTTTTCTAAATGCCCAGAGATCCATAAAAACTGTCTGTGTGTGGTTTTGAACACGAGATTGTGTTTTTAAAATATTTTTATTGGACTATTAGGGAAAGGCTGTTTGGAAGTCAGAGTGAGTAAAGAGGACTTTATTTGTCCTAAAGGAATCTGTAAAAGGCCACACCCAGTGCGACATGATGTGGTAAATCGGCACTTTGTGGCGTTCCGCATGTGCGTTTTCAGAGCTATTCATTAGCTCATTTAAATGATCACATGCGGAGTTACTGTGGTTTTGACAGTCAACTCGATTAAAGGAAAAATCTGAAATCTGAAGGTTTCCCTGGCTTGTAATGATTCCCCTAAAACATGACAAAGGTGCCCTCTCCACTGCAGCTGCAGATGCTGCCCTGCTGAAATACTCTCCTCTCGGGCTCTGTCTAACCCCTGGATTCAGGCTTTGAGCTGAGTTAGAAAGATTTTAGGTCACACCAACAACTCACAGGCACAATCCTCAGAAAAACCTTATGTGTTGGAAACAAAAATGTCAAAGAAATTGCAGAAAGTTCTGCTTTCATTTCTCTATAGATGCTCTGTGCAATGAGAATAGATATTTGGCTATTGGCACGGACACCGGCTGCTGTTGCTGTGGCAACAAGACCCAGCCTCATATGTTCAGAGGGAACTGACAAGTAAAACATTTGATGCTTTGCCACGGTTTGTTGAACAGGATTTGCTTCTGAAATCTGCTTTTTCCTGCTGAGGGTTGGAGCTCTGAGGAAGAGGCCGGGGGCCGGATTGGAGTTAATGTCTCTCTTTGGGTGCTTTTTTTTTACCTCAGTCCAGCTCTGTAAAAGCTGTTTGCATCCATTTCTCATGGAGAAAACATTCCTGTCTGTCACTGCTGCAGTAAAATGACCGAGCAGGGTGGGAATCCAGCGCATGTTTGGCAGTTTCCAGGGCTGGGTTGGATAAAAAGGGGCTCATTCTACGTGATTCATGAGTTGATGTCAGGCCAGTTCTGGTTGAGGTCAGTCCTTTGACGCAGTGAAGCAACATTTTCTGAGATGATAATTTTCTGTTTCTAATGTGTTTTAGAAGTGATTCAGGCCAAATAATTGTGTGCGTTTAAAGTAAAGTTTTAGAAATAAATGATTAGAACAAACAGAGCAATTTCACCCTTCATCCAGTATGTACTTTGGGGTTTCTGAAAGTTTAAAATGTCAGTTCTTTTCATGAAACTTGGGTTGTAATGGCATGTTTCTAACATTCAGATTGTTCAACACAGTGACTACTTTTTTCTTGTTTTCTGACACATGAATACATAAATATGGGCCATCGCACAAACTAAAACCACCTTTCTGACTTGTCAGAACCTTCAGTTATTGTACTTTAATGGAAGGGTTTGGATTATATATTACTCCCAAAAACGGAAATGAATATATAAAATGGTCCATGTCTAATAAGAGTACAGCAGGCTCATTAACTTTATTTATCTTAAACTTGACTAATCTGGCCAAGTAATTAGAGAACTATCTCAAAATATAAGTCACTGTGACATGTAATCTACTGTGAAAGTGGTTTTATATGATCTGTTTTGAACGATATCGCACATCTGTATCATTATCTAGTCTGGCAAAGACCAAAGAGGTATTTTTATAGGTTACTTAAGACTTTTTACACACCCTTACTCTAGAGTTTTCTTCTTTAAACCAAACATTATAACACATTTGTGGTCGAATCCTTGAAATGAAATTTGCATCTTTCGTACATAGAGTGTGTTGGCATTCTATAGAATTTGATTGATTATTCTTAATTTACACAAATTTACAGTTCCATTCTGTCTGTGTGTTTCTATTCTTTAAACTCTTCATAAACCCAGATTGGGAGTGTCTCTTCCTCTCTTTTTCCCTTTCACTTGTTCCTCCTGAAGAGCAAATGTTCTCTTGTAAGCGTCTGTCTCTAAACGATGGTCTGTACACAGCTTTCCACAGTACTAAAAGAGTTAGGATAAAGTTAAAATGAGTGGTTATTTTGTGGCTTCATTCAGAGGCAAACAGGGACATTTGATCAGCTTTAATCCCATTTTGTCGAAGGTTTTTGGTGCACTGAAAGTGTCTGGGTTAAAAAAGTCAAAAGGGAATTAGCTATTTTTCCTGGGATTGGATAAAGTATTTTTTAATTATTTGGCAGAAAATGAAGTTTTACTGTGCCCTTTTTTGTGGAAATTCTGTGTAAGTGAGTTCAGTTTCACAGCTTTGTGCATTCACCAAAACCTCAAACAGGGAATGGAGTGTCTCTCACAGTGAGACTGAAACAGAATCAAGTAACTTTATCTGTTTAAACTCGGTTTGTGGGATTCCTCCGAATGGAAGTCACTTCATCCATAAAGCAGTACTGTAACGTTTTTTAACCTGAAACTGTAAATGAGCAAACATTCCTCTTCTGGACTGCCATCAGTGATTTTGAATGTTTTGCTTTTTGTAATTATTTGCATAGGCAATTTGATTTTCTTTGGATTTTGAAGGTATGGTTGAGCAATTAAAAAAATGTGATTTTTTTTTTGACATTTCATAAACTGAGACTAAGTGAGTAAACGACCAATAGTAAGAAAGAACACAGATTTACTATAGTAACTACCAGTAAACCTCTGTCCTCCATCTCAGCCAATCAGTTTATTTAATAACAGGTAGTATCTTATGCCATTACTTCCTAATGTTTGCAAAATTTTAACATTGACTGAATGAATCTCAAACGTTTGTTAAAAACACTCATTTTTATTAGTGGAAGCTAAATAAAAAAATAAAAAAATGCAAAGAAACCCTTTTTACCCCTGTGTGGACATTTAAAGAGTTAACAGGGCAAATAAACAGCAGGTTACATTACATACATCAATTGTAAATCATTTATTGAAAATTGCATCCGCCTCCAGTCTTTGATCCATCCGTGGAAAACCTGTCTGCTGTTGTAGAAGTGAGATCAGATTTAATTTCGGCTCACTACAGCATGTATATATCTTCCAGCTTCTAATTTGATCTGCGGGTGCAGTTGTGCTCTCAGAGATCCTCCAGCACGTCCGACACACTTCGCCTCTGCAGATACTTTCCAATCTTAAAATATCCCCCTAAACAGTTTGTAGGACATGCACTTTGCTGATTCGGAGCAATAAAAATAAACTTATCCAGCGAATGAAAAACAAAAACAGAGGAGCTCAACAGGGTTCAACATCTGCTTTTCTCAACAGCATCTCCTGCTTTAGTTTCCTTTTAAGGCCATTTCTCATGTCATCCTGATGTTTTCTATGAAGCCCACTGTCGGACTGAGAGGACAGTTTTATATCAGCTGGTCAAAGCTGGACTGTGAGAAGCGTCCTGCAGCAGTTGGTGTTGATGAAGTGAACATTTTTCAAACATGGCTTATCGACCACAGCCTTTAACCTCTGTGCACAATCATATAACCCATAAAATGTGCAAGATTTTTCTAATCGAAAGCACAAAAGGTTATTATTGCCTTAAAATTGCCTTACATGGCTGCAACAGTTGTTGAGATTCTGGCCTTCCCAGCCTTTGTTTTTGCTGTCAGTGTG